TTTGTACTATTACTGAAGTTTTTATTAACTCTGAGATTGTAAAAAAAAAAAAAAGAAAAACTAAGTTAAAAGAAAGAAAAGAGAATATTGAAAATATAGATGAAAAAAATCTCTTAGGACTAAGGATGGAGGTGAGTTGATAGAGTAGTTACTAAATTTGCTCCAGGTCCTGGCTTTGATCTTTTCCACAAAACCAAACAGGCTAGGTACTGGTGGCTCACACTGTAATCCTAGCTACTCAGGAGGCTGAGATCTGAGGATCCAGGTTCAAAACCAGCCCACACAGGAAAGTCCATGAGACTATTATCTCCAATTAGCCACCAGAAAATTGGAAGTGGCACTGTGGCTCAAAGTGGCAGAGCTAGTCTTAAGCAAAAGAGCTCAGGGACAGCACTCAGTCTCTAGAGTTTAAGCCCCACAACCAACAAAAAATAAATAAAATTACATTAAATAACATAAATCTTCCAATACTAAATAATTTTTCATATTAAAAATTAAATGGGGCTGGGCACCAGGTGACTCTCACATGTAATCCTAGCTACTAAAGAGGCTGAGAACAGGATCATGGTTCCAAGCCAGCCCGAGCAAGAAAATCCATGAGACTCTTATCGCCAATTAACCACCAGAAAAGGGCAGAAGTGGGGCTGTGGTTCAAGTGGTAGAGCACTAGCCTTTGGCAAAAGCAGCTCTGGGACAGTGCCCAGGCCCAGAGTTCAAGTCCCAGGACTGGCAAAAAATAAATAATTTTTTAAAATTAAATGGTTGTGTTTTCTTCTAGCAACATCAAAACACAATGTAAATGTTCCCCTAATACTGTTAAAATTTAAGGTAGAATTAACTCCCTGGAATTAAGCCTTTTCCTGTCTTTTCTATGCATTAGTACTCACACACTGGCATATTAGAGGAAGAAATGTTTAGAGAAAACATCCTAACATCTGCACAACAACACAGAAGTGTGCTGCCATACATTGGAATTTATGAAGGAAGCACAAGCGACATTGAATACAATAAGCAAAGTTGTCACTAAAAACCTTTGCTTTCAAGCAACAGTAAGGAGGGAGGGAAGGGATGGTAGGGGATAAAAAGGAGGAGCTAACAGTATTACATAGGAAATGTACTCATTACCTTATTCATGTAACTGAAACCTCTCTGTACAGTATTTTTAAATAAAAAAAACACATAAAAAGTTTTTTTAAAAAAAACAGTAAGCAGAAACTAATCTTCAAGGACAGAAAAGCTCAAAGTTAAACATGTATAACTGCTGTTTAGGGTTTATGTTTGAGTGAACAAAAGTTTGTTGCTAAAATGATACACCATAGTTAACTAGGGATTTGACTTTATCGTAGTATCATAATAAGTGGGCTAGAAATTTGATCAAAATAAATACGATAGAGTGAGAAGATTTGGTGGAACATTAAAAATAATCCCAACAATGACTGGGTGCTAGAGGCTCACATCTGTAATCCTCGTTATTTGGGGGGTGAGAACAGGAGGATCACAGTTTGAGGACAGCTTGGACAGAAAATCATACAACTCCTTCTCAACCCATAACTGGGTACTATGGCACAACAGTGATTTGGGAGGCTGAGACTGGGAGGACTGTGGTCTGAGGCCAGCACGGGCAGAAAAACCTTTAAGACTGAACTGAAGGAAGGCTTGTCATAGAGACACAAACGTGTAACCCCACCAAGACTGTAAAAAGAAAAGCAGAGTGAAGCTCAGGCATAGCTCAGAAGTATTGTGGTAGCCTAGCAAGTATGAGGCCCTGAGTTCAAACCCCTACTTATCACGATTAAAAAAAAAAAAATCCAACACTGAGGACTTCCTAAAATATTCCCCTTTCCCTTCCTTTTTTTTTTTTTTGGAGGGAAGGTGTTTTTTTGGTGTTTTGTTTTGCCTTGAGATGGGCTCATGCTATACAACCTAGACTGGTCTTGGACCTGCTATCTTCCTTTTTGCCTCCTGAGTCCTAATAGGCGTGAGCCACATTCCAAGTTTCTTTCTTCCTCCATTCTTCCTTCCCTTTTTCTGTTCCACATCTGTCTGTCTGTCTATCTTTTTTTTAGTTAGTTTTACAGGGTTGGTGATCAATCACTAGAGCAAAAGCTCTATTTCTCCAGCTTTGCCCAGCCCTTTTGCTTTTGTTTATGAAACAAATGTCTTATCATCTCTACCCAAGATAGCATAAAGCTCTGCATCCTTCCTCTGCCACCCAAGTTCAAGGATTACAGGCATGCATCAACAATGCTTGCCTCAGTATTTTTTTCAGGTGGGCCCAGTGATGCATGCCTATAATCCTACAACTCAGGAGGCTGAGATCTAGGATCGAGGTTCGAAGCCAGCCTCTGTAGAAAAGTCCCTAAAAGACTCTCTCTCTTTTTTTTTTAATCTCCAATAAAACGTTCAAAAACCCGGAAGTGGGGCTGTGGCTTAAAGTGATAGAGGACTAGCCTTGAGCAAAAGAGCTCAGGGATAGCAGCGCCCAAGCCCTGAGTTCAAGCCATACAACTGATAAAAAAAGTTTTTTCAAGCAGCTTTCAGAAGCCTTCAACCACTCACAGACCTATACTGTAATGTAACTGTTGTACAACACTGTGAATGTGGAGACCTGGGGAGTTCAGTGACTTTAGTTACACAGAGAGTTGAGGCAAAATAAAATGTAAAACACCCACCTGGTGCCAGTGGCTCATGCCTGTAATCCCAGTTTGAAGCCAGCCAGGAAAACAAAGTCCATGAGACTCTCTATCTCCAATAAACTATTCAGAAAAAGCCAGAAGTGGTGCTGTGAAGACTAGGGACAGTGCCCAGGCCCAAAGTTCAAGCCACAGGACCAGCAAAAAAATAATAATAAAATTAAAAAAAAAAAAAAGTAAAACCCTAGAAATTATACCACTTGTAGGCATGGACAGGAGGGAAAAACTGGGGGAGAGTGAAGGGGTAACATTGCACCAAAAGAAAAGTGCTCATTTCCTGACTTATGAAACAGTACCCCTCTGTACAACACCTTAATAATAACAATAAAAATATTTTTTTAAAGAAAGCAAACCCCTAGAATTCCTGGATCTCAATTTACTCCTCCACACATTGACTCAACCAAATCCACATTAGAGGTTACAAAGAAAAAACAGTAAGACTTGCAGAAACACTGCATGGTTTATCAAATCTGCCTTGCTTGAAACAATGCACAATGAAACTCCATTGAAAAAAGATTTCTAAAGAAAAGTTACTGTGTTCCAAAAACTCTTCATATGAAAAACTCTAGTTCTTTTAGTTACTGTTCTGATAACAGAAAACAATTTTAGCTGGCTGCTATTGCCTCTAGCCTATAATCCTAGTTACTCAGAGGCTGAGATCTGAGGATTGGGATTTGGAGTCAGCCCAGCCCCAGCAGAAAAGTCCATGAGACTCTTACCTACGATCAACTATGAAAAAGCCAGAAGTGGAGCTGTGGCTCAAGTGGTAGAGCATCAGTCTACCTAATAAAATAGGTATGCAGTAGTTCTAACAAGGTTTTGTTTATCCTTTAACTATAATTTAGCCACTAATATCCAAACTGTATAGGGAGAGTTAAGGACTTTATAGCCACTAATTCATAAATATGTTTGGAGTTTTGGAGGTTCTCAGTGTCAGGTCACTCTTTTCAGTGGATTTGAGACAAAAAAAAATCTTCAAGAAGGAACATAATATTTTCATCATAACACACCAAATCATATCTCAACACATAAACCCTCTCCCAAAGTGGAAATAACAACTCCCAAAATAAATTTGAATGAGGAAAGTTAGACCTCAAAAGAATAAGTAATGTATACAGATAGGACTAGAACCCAGGCCAAACTTAATTCCTAGGCTTTACTCCTGAGTCTCCTGTCTCATATCAGGGACTAACTTAAACTCAGGGCCTAGCTTGCTCACTTGGCTTGCTTGCTTGGTGTTCTACTACTTGAGTCACACCTCCAATCCAGCATTTTGCTGGTTGACTGCAGATGGGAGCCTGAGCTGGTTTCAAACCTTAATCCTCCAAGTCTTAGCCTCCTGAGAAACTAGGATTACAACAGTGCCTGGCAATGTTTTTACAGTAAAATAAGAATTAAGTTTAAAAACAGATCTATTCACTAGTGCTACATACAAAAACTAAATTGAAATTCATTTAATTATACTTGGAAGAACCAACAATTCTACATACAGAATTGTCAATTATATGTTGACTATATTCTACCTGGAAAGTGCTTAAAAGTAATGCATACATTTAGATATATGTAAAAACAATGTATCAAAGTACTTTTTGGGACTGGAATCGTGGTTCAAATGGCAGCACACATGCCTTGCAAGCTCAAGGTCCTGAATATTAGCCCCGATATCACAAAAAAATAAAAGGACTTAAGTTTACCAATAATTTGGTCATTCCAATAAAGTAACGGTAAATATGGGTCAGAACAAAGAAAGTGTGCTCTTATCCAGAAGACTGACCTAGTTACACACATTCTACAACAGCATAAACTTTGACCCCTTCCCATTAATGATTAGAACCTTTTGGTGTGCGATCACAAGGTATTTCTATCTATATGGAACACTTAGCTTTTTCTATAATATATCATAGGAGAAATTCATTTTTTGTTTTCTTTAATATTTTAAAGTATTTATTTGCTAGTTTTTACTTATTTAATTTCAGAAGGACATTTAAATCTTTCTATAGCTGTGATCCCAAAAGCACATTAGAAAAATAAGAAGTAAATTAAAATGTAACTTGTATCTCTGACAATGAAGTAGGGAGTACATGTGGGGCTAAATGTAAGCAAGCAAACTACTTTCAAAGACTCTTTCCCACTATGTCAGGTGAATTAGGACGACTAAAGGTTGTATCTAATTTTGCACTCTAAACTACTCTTATTATTGTAGCTCTTAAGTCATTCTCAGAGGACATAGTCTCCTAAGTAATTTTACTTCCTAAAACTTCCCGTTCCTCAATTCCCACTGTTATAATCTAAACCTCTAAGTCTTACCTGTTAGAATTGTCTGAAAAGCAGCTTCTACATTTGTAGAGTCTAGAGCAGATGTCTCAATGAATGATAAACCATTCTTTTCTGTGGGGAGACACAAAAATTTTAGTTTTGTCAAGTCTTGTAGCAGTGGCGGGCGGGGGGGGGGGGCAGGTTTGCTGGAGCTGAGCCCCAGTCCCTTGCACACGCTAGCAAGCACTCTATCACTGAGCTAAATCCCCAGCTAAAGATCTGTATCCAGCAAGAAGTCAACAATTTTACCCAAAGCAAAGCAGGTTCTCCTCTCACTGAGCTATTTCTTTCAAAGTTTGTTTTTGTGCCAGTTCTGGGGTTCAAATTCTGGGCCTGGGTGCTGTCTGTGACCTTTTTTGTGCTAGTGCTCTACTACTTGAGCCACAGCTCCATTTCTGGCTTTTTGGATAGCAAATTGGAGATCAAAATTTCACAGACTTTTGCTGCCCAGGCTAGCTCTAAACTACAATTTTCAGATCTTAGCCTGAGTAGCTAAGATTACAGGCATGAGCCACTGTGCCCTGCTTCTTGCCAAGTTTTAAAGCAGGGAATGTGATACACTCAAGACCACATGAGAGAGATAAAACTGTCAGTCACAGTGGTGCACATCTGTAATCCCAGCACATGGGAGGCTGAGAAAAGAGGGTCATAAGCTGGAAAGAAGCCTGGGTTACACATCGAATCCAGATAAGACTGAGATATACAGTTAAGACTTGGACTCCGTTCCTTATCTCCCCTTCCTCCCAAAGTAGATAACCTACGGAATCTTCAACTTCTAGGATAGTAAAGGCACTATTCTACTTACACTTGAACAGATTAAGAATACCCTCACTGGTGTATCAAAGCCATTAAGACACAGTAAGAAATATAGAATCACTGTATTGTTACGGAACTCCAGTTACTGACCGGCAAAAGCTCTTGCTTCATCTGTTGGAACTGCCCTGAGATGACGTAGATCACTCTTATTGCCCACAAGCATAATGACAATGTTACTATCAGCGTGATCTCTCAGTTCTTTCAGCCATCGCTCCACATTTTCATATGTGAGATGCTTAGCAATGTCATAGACCAGTAAGGCACCTACAGCTCCACGATAGTATCTGAAAACAAAAACACAGAAACTATCAGAAAATAACCATGATGAGATAGGCACAAACACCAGGATGAAATCAAGATTTGGATCATGTATTTTTTAAAAACATGCTTATAAAGAATTCCTAGCTGGTGTTAATAGCTCACACTTGTAATCCTAGCTACTCAGGGGGCTGAAATCTGAGGATCATGGTTCAAAGCCAGTTGGGGCAGGAAAGTCCGTGAGACTTTTATCTCCAATTAACTACTGAAAAGCCGAAGTGGAGCTGTGGCTCAAAGTGGTAGAGTACTAGCCTTGAGCAAAAGAGCTCAAGGACTGCCCAAACCTGAGTTCAAGCCCCATGACTGACCCCCCCCCCAAAAAAAATCCTAATACTAGAATTCTTCAAAAGAAAAACATTTTTAAAATGGTACAGTAGTCCTCTTTATAAGCAGTTTTGCCACCACAGTCTACCATTCTTAGTCAGCCTCTACAAAAATATTAAATGAAAAATTCTAAAAAGAAGCAATTTCCCCCTTTTAAATAAGCACTGTTCTGAGCAGGATGAAACTCTATTGAGGCCAGAATATGACTCCTCCCTCTGCATAGCCACACTGTATGAACACCTGTCCATTAGTCACTTAGTTATCAGACTGTAGTGATGGTATCAAAGTGCTTGTCCTAAGTAACCCATAAGTAATTAAGTAATCTGATAGCACTTTACTTCACAAAA